TTTGTATTTTTAGTAGAGATGGGCAGGGTTTTACCATGTTGGCCAGGCTGCTCTTGAACTTCTGGCCTCAAGTGATCCACCCATCTTAGCCTCCCACAGTGCTGGGATTACAGACTGGGATTAAAGACGTGAGCCACTGCACCCAGCAGAGAACATGCTTTCTGACTTTACGTCTTAAGAGTCTTTGTTTTGTTGTCTAATTTATCTAGAATGGTTTCGCTTCCATTTTTTTCTAATCTTAAGTTGTCCAGACTCAAAAATTTATTGATGATCTTCTTCATTTCCCAATTTTGCTATAGTCATTAATTCATTAATTGCTCCTTTAGTAAATATTTGAGGTCTTATTCGTAGACTTCTTATTTGCATTCTTGTTAGTAATAAATACTAAACTGGAAAGTAGGCATTGGGTAGAGATGCAGAGGGGAGGGATACAGAGTAAATAAGATGGGGTGAAATTCTGATCCTTGGAGTACTCGCCATGTAATGTGGTAGACATACCATATTCACATAATTAAGTTGCTTTGTGGTAAGTTGTGGGATGGCTTCACATTTGAGGAGGTCTTGAAGAAAGGTTGCCAGGAAACAGTAAAGGAATTTCTAGACAGAGAATCAAATGTTCAGAGTTTTGGGGACATGCTATGTACGTGAACTGATGAATAGTTGATATAGGTCAAGCAGAGAATTGAGGGTGGAAAAGAGATATCTACTGGGGAGATTAGGTTTCCCTCTTCCTTCTCAGGCAGCACTTAATCTGTACAAGTAGAAAAGGCTTACTTCTTTCTTCAGCTGCCCATAATATTTGTTTTTCTTGCCTTCAGCCCATTTGTGTTTATGTACCTCTTATTTCTGTTTTTAAACTACTTAAGGGTAAGAACTCATTCAGGATCCCTTCTTACTCACATTTGGTTTCTTCTTAAGCGTTAGAAATTACACTTTGCTCATAGTAGGTTTTCACAATTTGTTAATACTTTGCACATTTGTGGATGCTTAATTTTAGTTCTTTGCATTTGATATGATCATTCTCTTTAAAATAATTTCTAACATATATATGCTCCTTGCCTTAATTATGTCATTTAATCCTCATTGTGACCCTGTGATGTTAAGCATATTATAATTCTCATTTTTTCAATGAATAAAGATAGCCACTCACCCAGGAGCACAAGTAGAAAGTAGTGGAGCTGGTATTGGAACACCAGTTGATATGATTCCAAAGCCCATGCATTTATGTTCAGTATGCATTAATCTAGTGGAGAGATAAGGATAAATACAGTTATAAAAGGATGAAGCAACTATAGCTGTGATAATCCTATTACTTTGACTAGAACTGCCAAACTACAGAAAGATACTTATAACCTTAATGGTTGAATGAGGATGAACAGCATGATATGTGTTGAAGATGACATGAGTCATTCTTAGATGGCATACCTGGGGAACATTGATTGATTTTAAATTAAAATTCTAAAGATGTGGAATCTACAAAATGTGGGCTAGTACAGTGTTTCAAATATCAAGGAAAATGCAAGTAAGAAAATGAAAAGAGAATTTATTATGCACTTACCATGGAAGACACTAGACTCTCTGGAATCACGAGCTTAATTTTTTGGAAAACAAGTGTACTTCTGTGATAGGAGATGTTAATAGTTTGAAACTTACACACCCAATTCTTTGGGTACTGTGTCAAAAATGAGATCTTTTAACATTGTGAGGGGAGGTGAGTGGAAGAGAAAGTTTATATCAAGGAAAGTAGAGGATAGACCAATGGAAGTATTCTAAGGTATCTTTATAGTTCCCATATAATCTGAATTCTTGCAGAAGCAACTTGGGTCTCTGTATATCTCCATGCATTTATACAGATTACTTCTTATTTTAGGCTGATGGGTGTTTACATATAGAAAGTATACTGATTTTCCACAATTTGGGACCTGAAAAATTTGAAGTAAAGTTGAAGAGAAAGTATCATTTGTTGATCTTGTTTGTATAGCATCACCTGGGTTAATTGATAAAATTGGCAAATGTTTCTTGCATTTTAAATTCAATTTCATTCTTTTGGGTTACCTAATAACACCTAGCAGTCACAGCTTTAACATACCCCAGGTTTCCTGATTTTGTTAATAGGTTTGTCTGTATGTGTATATATGTATATTTATACCTGTTTTTTTAATCCTGATGATATTAACTTTAATACAACATTAGTAAATGTGCTGTTCTTAGTTAAGAACAGCTTTATTTCGTTATTTAGCTTAGTGTTAAAGTTTCATAAACAGAATGAGATTAAAACAGTTATAAGACTGTAATAATTAATATATATATGCTATGCTTGATTTTCCTGAGTTATTTTATCATTTTGCTTTAACAGTGGCAATTCTTAGCTTTGTGCTTATCTAACACAATGGAAGATTTTTTCTTTTCTTTCCCTGAGCATTTGGCATGGTTGGTCACATATTTTCACTGTGATACTTATTCACTTACTTGGTCTCTTCTATGCCTTGAAAGATTATCAGCTTAGAGTTACAATTTGGTGTTCATTAATTTAGTTAGGTTCCCAGTATGCTTTAATTTTCTAATTTTCTTGACAGAACTTTTCTGCCTTTAAAATAGTATTCGAGAATAAAATGTTATTGTGTATATATATGTGTGTATGTATATACACATGCACACACAAGCTGTGCTTGTAACAATCTGTGAAATTATACTATATGAAAGCTGACATATTTTAATAGTGAGAAATTGGGGCTTTGGAGAAATTAACATTTTCATGAATGTTCATCTCTTTAGACTACAACATTTCTAAATTTTCACAGAACACTATTCAAGAGTGTGTGTGTGTGTGTGTGTGTGTGTGTGTGTGTGTGTTTGAGATGAAGTCTTATTGCCCAAGCTGAACTTGAACTTCTGGGCTCAAGGAGTCCTACCTTCTGAGCTTCCCAAGTAACTGGGACTACAGGCATGTACTACTATGCCCAGCTAAGTTTTAAAATTATTTTGTAGAGACGAGGTCTCTCTATCTTACTCAGGCTGGTCTCGAACTCCTGAATTCAAGCAATCCTCCTGTCTCAGCTTTCTGAATAGCTACAAGTATAGGCATGCACTACTGCACCCGGCTATTCAAGTATATTTTATTTTTAAACTCCAGCTGTCTGTTCATCAAATTTCTGCTTCTTGATAAATGCAGTTTTATTAGGACATTGCATTTTGAAAATAATCTTATGGTAAACCAGTGTGAATTAATAATTTTCTACAACTGCAGAACAAAAGCAAAAAAGTATAAAGTTTCAGTTTATATGGAAACATATACAGAATTGATTTTATTGGCAATTTATTACCATAGTTAGCAGTTACATCATTTTAAAATATCATTGTACATACTGTTGACTGAGAAAGCACTTATGTTTGCACATTGACTTAAAAGAGATATAAGCTTTAAATATTGTCAGCCAGTTACCACATTGCTTCTTTATCACTAACTTTACCTGCATTACTTTTAACAATTGCTTTTCACATTGTTTTAATACTAATTTATGCTAAAAAATAGAATGTGCTAAAAAGAAGTGATATTGTTTTATGTAAAAAAGTCTGTGCCACTATGCTTTGTAAGGGAGAGAAACCATTGACCAAGTACTCTACAAATTCTTATATACATGGATGAACCAGTAAAGACATTTTCCCCCTAAAACATAGCACTTCAAAATGCTCTGCAATATGTTTTTCACTATACCTGAAGAGAAAGGACCTTATTCACTATCCACTTTTAATTAGGGGGCAATTGGCTTTGGTTTTGGTTTACATTTATTTTTAGGCATATTATTTGACACTTTTTTAGGGTTTTATATGTCTTACATTTATAAGTTTCTTATATATATGATATATACACACATATATATATTTCTTACATATATATGTATATATGGATATGGAAATATAGAACTGGAGAACAGTAAATAAAGTCTCATTTCTAACATGACATAGTTGATAGGGAATTTTGATGTTTCTTTTTTGTTGAAGTCTTAGTTGATCTTTTTTATTAACATTTTGAATGTCCGCTTTTTTGGTTCAAAATAACCTTCTATCATAATATTTACATAAGCAGTAAAATTGTGCAATTGCTACTCACTGGAAAGATTTAAATTTCAGATCAGATAAATGTAGATTGATAGCATGAGATAACTATGAAAATATGTATCATTTAAATTATCAGTAAAACATTTTGTGAAAATGTTGATTTTTCTGGGGTGTTTCTGTGAATTGATTGTTCCTTAACAAAACATTTTTAGACTTTGACTTAGAGATCCTAAATGCTCTGCATTTCCTAAACTTTGAGATGGAGAAAAGTAGGCCTGTCTTTTGATAAAATTGATTAAATTTTTATCTTCTGATAAAAAATTGATTGTATTATTTATGTTTTTCTTATCAAATTTGTTAGTAGCATTCAGAAATATTTCCAAATGATTTTTTTCCTACTTATAGAGGGAAGGAAAGTTGAAAAAAAATGACTGAGACTTTTTGTTTTATTTTTTACTTTTTTATTTTTGTACTTCAAAAAGTGATAAGTTCACATAAACTACATGCCATTATTATTCATAATAATAATTGCATTTTCTATACAATCTACATCATTTCCATTTTTATTATAAAACAGCAGCCTGGTTTCTGTCATAAAACAAATCTGGCTTGTATTAGAACAAATATGTCCTCATTTAAAGAATTTTAAGGTTTCTGTCTTGAATTGAGTATCTTAAGCTTTATAACAACGTCTGGCTCTTAATTTTAGTAAATGGCATGACACACTATATCCACGGAGAGCTTCTGACAAAAACTTATCAGACAGAATTTCTTCAGTGTGTTGTTTACTCAGATGGCTTCAGTTTCTCTTTAGTAAAATAATAATTCTGTGTTGGTGCTAGAGTACAGAAAAATGTTGTTACTGTGCACGCATCTTCTGCAGATGATATCCTGTTCCCTTTCTTTGTTGATATTTTTCTTTCTTAAACTTTGTTGCTCAGAATATCTTTAATGCTAGCCAAGGAGTCAGGGATTTGGACGTATTTTCATGGACTTCCAAAGCTTTTTTCCCCCAGGTGAGTTAACTGTAAGGAACAATCATGTTTTATTCAGGTATTTCAGCATGTATAACAAGTTTTGTGTCTTTGAAACCTTTGCTTAAGATTAATAAAACCTTTTAACCAAAAAACGATCTATGTGAAGTGCTGCAATTGAGTTTTCTCCTTGCTCCTGCCAAAAAGAATGTATTATTAGTTTAAGTGATACTTCCACATGACTTCAAATTTGCTATATTTAGTTTATGACTGACTTTTCCAATGATTATATCTAAGATTAGTGTTTTCACAACTAACTTATTTAGGTGGCAGTGTCCTGGCCTTATGGCTCTTTTATTTTTTCTGCTGCCAACTCTTTCACATTCCCTCTTTGAATGTTCATCTGAGAATGGGATGGGAATGGAGGGAGAAGATAATAATATTTCCACGAATTTAATATGCTGGTACCTGGGTCTTACATTTCAGTATTGAATAAAACATTTATTTTACTATTGCTTGAGTGTGATAGGCACAGTTCTATGACTTTATGTCTGTCCATTTTTTATACTGTTTAGCACAAGAATTGGATAAACTTTGTTTTATACTTATTAATATAGTTTTATTACCTTTACAATAAAATATTGTTTTAAATTTTTAACAAGTTTTCATAATTGCCTTTCAGTGACTAGTTTGCAATTATAATTAGTTTTACCAAGGCTTAACTCCCAGTGTTACCCTGAATGATCAAAAGTTAGAATTATTGTTATAATTAATTAAATGCACTAGGAATATTATTAAATACCAATGAAATTGGGGTTTTTTGCTGAATCTGTGGATATTTGCTTTTTTATGTCACCATGTAATTTTTAAGAATCATTTGTGAGTAGGATTAAAACTTGCCTCTTCCAACTGTGAAATGGCATGATGTATTTATTTATTGACCATTTACAAATAGACATTTTAAAATGTTTACAGAAAATCTTGTGAGTGTAATAGCAAGTATTATGTAAAGTTTAGACCTGTGCTACTCTCAATTTTTATCTTGAGCGCTTTCTGTGTATTCATATAGGTTTGCACATATATAAATTCTTACAAATATATATGATGAGTATATAAAATATGTATTTTACATTTATTTTTGGTTGTAAATCTAAGCTTTTTGAGTGTTTAAAATTCTCATTTCCATTAAATTTC